GTGGGTGGGTGTGTGGATGGATGGGGTGGGTGGGTGTATAGATAGATGGGTGTGTGGCTGGATGGGTGGGTGGGTGTATGGATAGATAGGTGTGTGGATAGATGAGCAGGTGGGTGTGTGGATGGATGGGCGGTGGGTGGGTGTGTGGATGGATGGGCGGTGGGTAAGTGTGTGGATGGATAGGTGGGTGGGTGGCGGATCTGTGGCTGTTTAGAGAGAGTCAATCCCGTCTGAGGGAGTTTGTGAGCTAAGTAGAGGCATCGAAACCCCCTGACAGCTGCAGAGGCCCCACGGGTTCTGGGCTCAGGGCCCTGACACTCGAGTCGCAGCTTTCAGCCTCATGGCAGGATTCTTCAGGAGCTCTCACCATGCACTGACCACGGTTCTCCAGGGGCTTTTGCAATTGTCAGAATTTGCAAGTTCTGTCACAGCCTCCTTCTGGGGCCATGTTGGCCTAGGCATAGGCAAACACAGTTGCTTCCTCTGAGCTCTGCTGAAGGTCGGTGGGCAGGGGCCGGGCAGAGCATGGGAACTGGCCCAGGACTGACCTGCCATCAGGGGGCCGTGCCCATTTGGGTGCAAAGAGAAGGGAGAACAGGGGCCGTAGAGCAGCATTTGTATCCCCAAATGTCAGCTGTAAGCCGGTGCTGTCTGCACCCCACCTGTGATCCGTGAGAGGCAGCACCAGGACCTGGGCTTCTATAGAAACTGGGGAGACAGATGGGCCCTGAAACTACCTCCCAGCAGAAGGGAGGCTCCCAGGCCTAGTCCTGCAGGGCCTGCTGTAGGGGGTTGGTGGCAGAATTGGGAGGCTGAGGTCCCCAGTCTGAAGATAGCCCTCTGGACCATGAAGTGAGATGTAGTCTCCTCCAGGTAAAATGAGCCGAACAGTTCTGACACTCTGAGCATGTTGCTCCCAGTCTTAATCATTCAGTTAAGGAAAAAAGAACTGACATCTTAGACAGTTTTATGAATGGGGATTAGAGGTTTTCCCATTTATCCATTGGGACCTCCGCTTCCTCTAGAGCCTGGTGTTGTGAGAGCACATTGCCACGAGGGGGCACAGGATACATAGGCTGGCTGGAGTAGCCAGAGACCCACATGCCTGAGGCTGGAGTCAGGTGGTGGGTGGGTGTCCATGAGTGGGTGGGGTTGGGGGCATCACCCCAAGCAGATGAGTGGAACAGGTGTATGCCCCAGGACCGCTGGAATCCAGGGTTTGAATTTTTTTGGCTGGAGTAGGGGCTAGGGAGTGAGATCTAGACAGTCATGGTACATGGGTCCCACCCCCCACCACACCGAGACCCCTGTACTTGGCTGGTGTGAATGAATTGATTTGAGTGCCCTGTCCCTGAATTGCCTCCCAGGTGTGGTACAGAGAGGACGTCAGCCACTCCAACCCTGAAGGGTCCTCCTGGTCCCTGCTGGACACCCCCGGGGAGGTGGTTCAGATCAGCTGTGGGCCCCACGACCTCCTGTGGGCCACGCTCTGGGAGGGGCAGGCGCTGGTCCGGGAAGGAATCAACAGGAGCAACCCCAAAGGTGGGCAGCCCGGCCCCACCACCCGCCTACCCTGTATTGAGGAGAAGGGCGAGGGTCACTCGTTCCTTAGCCATCCAGGCTGATGGGGGCCACTTGGGGGGGTTTCTTGGGGTCCCGGTAGGAAGTTCCTGGTCCATCGTGGAGCCTCCTGGATCTGAAAACGGGATTATGCACGTCTCAGTGGGAGTAAGCGTGGTCTGGGCCGTCACCAAGGACCGGAAGGTAAGACAAGGATGCCACGCCGGGTCCCTTGAAGGCTGTTTTCTGTTCTTGCGAGTGTGGTCTAAACAGCCGGGCACGATGGCTTACACCTGTAATCCCAGCACTCTGGGAGGCCAAGGCCAGAGGATCACTTGAGCCCACGAATTTTAGACCAGCCTGAGCAACATAGCAAGACCCCATCTCTACAAAAAATAATAAAAAATTAGCCAGGTGTGGTGGTCCACGCTTATGGTCCCAGCACGGGACCACAAGGGAGGCTGAGGTTGGGGGATCGTCTGAGCCCAGGAGTCAGAGACCGCAGTGAGCCATGATCACACCACTGTACTCCAGCCTGAGTGACAGAGCAAGACCCTGTCTAAATTAAAAAGAAAACCTGGTCCGGGTGCAGTAGCTCATGCCTGTAATCCCAGCATTTTGGGAGGCCGAGGCGGGCAGCTCACCTAAGGTCAGGAGTTTGAGACCAGCCTGGCCAACATGGCAAAACCCCGTTTTTACTAAAAATACAAAAAAATTAGCTGGGTGTTGTGGTGGGTACCTATAATCCTAAGCTACTTGGGAGGCTCAGGCAGAAGAATCGCTTGAACCTGGGAGGCAGAGGTTGCAGTGAGCCGAGATTGCACCACTGCCTTACAGCCTGGGCAACAAGAGCAAAACTCCATCTCAAGAAAAAACATTAATAAATAAAATAATAATAATTAAATGACAAGAATGAAACTCTGTCTCGAAAAAAAGAAAAACCCATTAGAACAAATGGGGTTTCACCATGTTTTCCAGGCTGGTCTCAAACTCCTGACCTCAGGTGATCCACCTGCCTCGGTCTACCAAAGTGCTGGGATTATAGGCATGAGCCAGTGCACCCAGCAGCATCTCAGGAATTGTAACAGCACAGGGTCTCCAGTGGGTCTGAGACTGATGGCGCTTTCCCCAGGCCACCGTGGAGAATTGATAACAACAGCCCAGGTGGAATGCTGGGTGGGCTTGGGGGGTAGAGGGTGACCAGCAGCTGAATCACAGAGCCACAGGTATACTAGGAAAATCTGGAAGGAGTGTGTGTATTTTTACACATTGACATGAAAAAACTTACCCACCATAGGCTGGGTGTGTTGGCTCACGCCTGTAATCCCAACACTTTGGGAGGCTGAGGCGAGCGGATCATGAGGTCAGGAGATTGAGACCATCCTGGCCAACTTGGTGAAACACTTTGTCTACTAAAAATACAAAAATAAGCTGGGTGTGGTGGCAGGTACCTGTAATCCCAGCTACTTGGGAGGCTGAGGCAGGAGAATCACTTGAACTGGATAATGGGAGGTTGAACCAGGGAATGGGAGGTTTTGGTGAGCCGAGATCACACTTCTGTACTCCAGCCTGGTGACAGAAGAGTATTTCCTGAAGCACTTAGACCCAAAACAGGTGTCTAATTTTTTCTAATAATGAGGGTTTTTTTTAACTGGTTTTTCTAAATAACATTATTAAGGCCGTTGTCTTTCTCAAGGACCAACTTGATTCAAATAAAGTAGCCTTTTGCAAGCATTAGGCTGAAGAACGGGCAGGAAGCTGCTAGGACACGTGTGGCTGAGGCCAGGGGACCCTCAGCCCTCGTGAACAGTGCCAGGCCCAGGAGATGCAGCCGGGATGTGGGAAGAGGGACATGGACTGTGGATTGGGGCTTCCTCGCTAAATGATGTGCCCCGCTCATTTGTGGCATGAACCAAAGGATTAAATTATTCATTGGTTCTTCCTGAAACTTAAACGAACAAACCAACCTTCTGTTTCAGTGGCCCTCCAGGAAGGCATGTTTATTTCTGACTTCCCCAGGTGTGGTTCCGAAGAGGTGTCAACTCTCACAATCCCTGCGGCACCAGCTGGATTGAGATGGTTGGGGAGATGACGATGGTGAACGTGGGAATGAACGACCAGGTGTGCCCGTGGGTCCACAGCTCCTAAACAGCAGGAGTCTCAGAATGGGAGCTCCTGATACCACACAATGGCCTGGTGGCCCCTTCCCACTCCAAGAGCTCATGAGGTAGTACAGCCAGGGGTCCTGGCACCTCTGCATACTCTCAGCCTGCAGGGTCCCAGGGCCCTTACTTATCCCTGGGTCAATTTCCTAAAGTCTCTCAGAGCGGTGAGCAGGGACCTGCCCTGGCAGGGAGGGGTTCCTGGAGACTGGAAGTTTCCTTGAGAAATGTGTAGGTGAAATCAGGTGTGATGGTCGCCAAGTGAAGGATGAAACTGACCTCCTAACATGGACTCCGAGGATGCAGCCTCTCTCTTTTTTTTTTTGAGACAGAATCTCACTCTATCACCCAGGCTGGAGTGCAGTAACATGATCATGGCTCGCTGCAATCTCCAACTTTCAGGTTCAAGCGATTCTCCTGCCTCAACCTCATGAGTAGCTGGGATTACAGGCTTGCACCACCATATCTGGCTAATTTTTGTATTGTTTGTAGAGACAGGGTTTTGCCATGTTACCCAGGCTGATCTCAAACTCCTGACCTCAAGTGATCCACCCCCCTTGGCCTCCCAAAGTTCTGGGATTACAGGCATGAGCCACCGCACCCTGTCAGTCCAGCCTGTCTTAAGCATCATCTGCACAGTTTTACAGTGTGGCCTTCTCATAGATAATGAGGATCGGGGATTTTTAAAACTCAAGGCGTGGGCTGGGTGCAGTGCCTCATACCTGTAATCTCAGTACTTTGGGCAGCTGAGGTTGGCGAATCACCTGAGGTCAGGAGTTCAAGACTAGCCTGGCCAACATGGTAACACCCCATCTGTACTGAAAAGACAAAATTAGCTGGGCCTGGTGGTGGGTGCCTGCAATCCCAGCTCCTCAGGAGGCTGAGGCAGGAGAATCATGGGAGGCCGAGGTTACAGTGAGCCGAGATTGTGCAACTGCACTCCAGCCTGTGCAACAGAGCAAGACTCTGTCTCAACAACAAAAACAAAGACAACAAAACCAGGGCCACCTCCGGGTTCACTGGGGCATCAGCTGCCACATGTGAGACGAGGAGGCAGGTGAACCTCACTTCCTAACACAGCATCCCCCAGCCCCACCGCTTCCCCTGGACCTTGTCACCTTGAAGCCCTGGGTCTGCCTGAGGTCAGGGAGACAGGACTAGGTTGAGGGTTCTCCTGAGCCCTCTTCCAGCATTTGACTTCTGTGCCCACCACATAGCTCCCCTCTTGCGCCTTCCCAGCCCACACACACATGCATGCACCCGCTGTACGTGGAGGGCCCTGCCTGCATTTTGCGCCCCCAGGAAAGGAGAGGAGCCCCCAGTCCTGCGCCCAGCTTCCTCGGAGCAGCGCCTCTCTCTTGCAGGTGTGGGGCATTGGCTGTGAGGACCGAGCCGTGTACTTCCGGCAGGGCGTCACCCCCAGCGAGCTCAGCGGGAAGACCTGGAAGGCCATTGTTGTAGCCCGAGAGTGTGACCGGTCTCACTCTGGCAGCTCGTCCAGCCTCCTCAGGTGACCGGGGGCAGCAGGGTATGCAGGAGTCAGGCTGGGATGGGCTGTGTGAGCCTAGGTGGTCACGTCCAGAGGAGGCTGCCACCTGCCCCACTGAGTCCCAGGACTTGTCCCAGGCAGGAGAAAATGGGTCTTTCCACTCACAAGAGCCACAGCTCTCCTTCCTCGGTCCCACAGAAAGGAGGTCCTGGGGACAGCCCGGGGTGGCCATTAGAGGTGTTTGAGACACCCTGGGCTGCCTGCTGGTGGCAGCCCCTGGGAGCAGGTAAAGCTGGGCTGTCGTGATAGAGGCGGGGCTCAACCCCACGCAGGGCTGTCCCCTTGGTTCCGGAGGCTGCAGATCTAGGGCAGAAACAGTTTCTCTGTGGGGTAGAAGTAAAGGCCCCTCTGTCAAGGGGAAGCAAGGAGAAGAAAGAGGGTCTCTGCCTGGCCCGAAGCAGTGGTCTCAGACTCGGGCGGCAGCATCGCCTGGAGGGCTTCTTCAGACTTTGAGTTTCTGTTTGAAACTTGGCATTTCTCACCAGGCCCCGGGGCAATGCTGCTGCAGTTCAGGGGCCGAACCTGGGGGTCCCTGGGTCTAAAGAGCGTGGACAAGACCCAGCTCTGCCTGCCGTCCATGAAAACACAGGCAGGCAACTCAGCGTATGAGCAGGGGACAGCTCAGCTCCACAGTGGGAGCGTCCACATCATGGGCGTGGACGGAGATGCCACTTGGGGCCTGGGCTGTGCAGCCATCCACGTTCCCCTGTAGCTGCGACCCTCCCCTGCCCCTGGTCCAAACCTCTCTGTGCCCCAAGCCTGGTGGTCACCACCCTGCTGTGCTGTCAGCCCAGAGGGCCAGAGAGGATGGTTGAGGCAGGTGTTTGCTCATTTATCACCTGAGGGTTTAGTCTGCTCAGCTGTCATCCAGGCTGGAGTGCAGTGGCATGATCATGGTTCACTGCGGCCTCCGACTCCTGGGCCCAAGCAGTCCTCCCACCTCAGCGTCCCAAGTAGCTGGGATTACAGGTGTTCACCACCACATCTGGCTAATTTTTGCATTTTAAGTAGAGAGACAGGGTTTCACCATCTTGGCCAGGTGGGTCTCAAACTCCTGACTTTAGGTGATCCGCCCACCTCCATCTCTCAAAGTGCTAAGATTACAGGCATGAGGGACCACACCTGGCCAGCTGGTAGTTCTTAAACTGGAAAGAACATTAGAATCAGCTGAGAAGTTTCAAAAACTGCAGATGCCAAATCTTTATGACTTGGAGGTTAGTAATGGCTTCTTAGATATGACACCAACAGCACAGGCAATGAGAAAATACAGATAAATTAGACTTCATTAAAATGAAAAACATTTGTGAATCAAAGGATATTATCAAGAGTAAAAAGTCAGTGAAAGAAAGGCAAGGCTGGGTGTAGTAGCTCGGACCTGCAATCCCAGCACTTTGGGAGGCCAGAGTGGAAGGATCGCTTGAGCCCAGGAGTAGTGAGACCCCATCTCTACAGGAATTAAGAAAAAAAAAAAAAATTAGCTGGGTGCAGTGACATGTGCCCGTGGTCCTAGCTACTTGGGAGGCAGAGGTGGGAAGATCACTTGAGCCAGGAGGTCGAAGCTGCAATGAGCCATGATCACGTCACTACGCTCTGGCCTGGGTGACAGAGAAAGACAATTTCAAAAAAAAAAAAGACAATGACAAATGCCAGTGAGAACATGGAGAAACTGGAACCCTCATACACTGCTGATAGGAATGTGAACCGGTGCAGCCGCTATGGAAAACAATTTAGCCATTCCCCAGATATTCAACAGGACTGTAGTGTGAGCCAGCAAATCCACTGCTGGGTGTATACTCAAGAGACTTGAAAACACGTGTTTTAGTCTGTTTTGTGTTGCCATAAGGGAATCCTGAGGCTGGGTTTTTATAAAGAAAAGAGATTTATGGCCGGGCACGGTGGCTTACGCCTGTAATCCCAGCACTTTGGGAGGCCAAGGTGGGCAGATCACTTGAGGTCAGGAGTCCGAGACTAGCCTGGCCAACATGGTGAAACCCCATCTCTACTAAAAATACAAAATTAGTTAGGTGTGATTGGTGCATGCCTGTAATCCTAACTACTAGGGAGACAGAGGCAGGAGAATCGCTTGAACCTGGGAGGTGGAGGTTGCAGTGAGCCTAGATCATGCCACTGCACCCAGCCTGGGCGACAGTGAGACTCGGTCTCAAAAAAAAATACTAATTCTATACCTTCACCTTCAGACGTGTCAATGTGATTGGTCTGCAGTGTGGCCCAGGCATCAGCTCCCTGGGAGACAAGTGCTGATGTATACCTTGCATAGAGGAAGAGACAGGAGTTCAGAGAGGCTGTGACTTGCCCATGGTTCACAGGCAGTCATGGTGGAGCATGCTGGAGCTGGGCCAGCCTGACAGTGCCTGTTCTCCCTGCAAGGGAGTGATGGGTCTCCCCTGATTTGTACCCAGTGCTGGCTGCTTCTTCGGTGATGAGGTGAGGGGCAGTGGCGAGTCTGCGCCCAGCGACACCGACGCGTCCTCGGAAATCGAGAGACCAGGGCCTGGCCAGCCTCTCCCTGCAGAGCCTCTAGATGATTCCAGGAACCCCACAGGGAGCTTGGCCTCAGGCCCAGGGGCTGGCAGGACCACAGAGGATACCATGGAGGATGCCTGCCCAGCGAAGAGCGGCAGGGAGGCCAGGCTCAACACACACCCTGGTCAGGCCTCCACTCTGGCAGAGCTGCCCTGGACCAATATTGACCTCAAGGAGCCCAAGAAAGTGCCCAGCCACTCGGCTGCCAGCTTCCCCGAGACCAACAGCCTCTCCTCACTGGGGATCCTCCCACTGGGCTTGGAGGAGCCATACGGGGCGGATGACCACCCGCTGTGGGCCTGGGTGTCGGCAGGTGGCTGCGCGGTGGAGGCTTGTGCTGTGCCCAGGTGGTTCACTGTCCAGGCAGGTAAGGTCTGCAGAGCCCAGAGGCATCACCAGGGCCAGGTGCCCTGGGGGTGTGAGATGTGGGAGGAGGCTGGGGGTGGGGTGGGCAGGCCTGCTGTCTTCCCTGTATGCCTCAGTGTGCTCAGCAGCCCTGAACCAGACACTGGGCTCTTCTGTGGTCTCCAGAGACCAGCCCGAGGCTGTCAGGAGCTGGAAGCACAGGGGCCAGTGCCCCTTCCTCTGCCTGCAGCCCCTCCCCTGTGCTAGCTGCGGTGGCCGCTTTCCAGGCTGAATTACTGGGGGACAGCAACTTGTCCATCAGGGCGAAGGGTGGGAGGGGGCTTAACAGTGATCATAGCTTCTGAGCTATAAAGGGCTGATTTGGTGGAGGGGAATGCCACGGCTTCCTGCCCAGCTGCGGGCAGGACGGGGCCCCAGCACTGAGGCTCTGGCTGCCCTGCAGGCCTGTCCCCCTCAGTGCAGACCCTGTCCCTGTCCATCACACCGGCCCAGACCGCCGCCTGGAGGAAGCAGATCTTCCAGCAGCTCACGGAAAGGACCAAGCGGGAGCTGGAGAACTTCAGACACTACGAGCAGGCTGTAGAGCAGGTGGGTGCCCCGTTGGCCCCCCACGCATTTTGTTTTCCAACAGTCATTCATTCAGCACCGACTGTGTACTAGGTCTGAGGTGGGGTGGAAGGAGTAGATGGATACCTCTATCCACCCATCTCCTGCCGAGATGCAGGCATAGGTAAATGAGCTCAGAGTTTCTTCATCCATCCCAAAGACTTGTTCAGGCCCCACTGTGTTCTGGGCTTGGTGGAGGCCCTGGGAACCCAGAGATGGCAGCAACCTCAGAGGGTGGTGAGTGGGAAGGAGAGGATGGCCAGGGAGGGGAGAACCACATTGTCCTCTCTCTGCTGGAGGGAACCCCAGGCACCCAGGGGTGCAGTGTGTGATTGCAAGGAGTTAACACAGAGGGCAGCCAGAGACCCCACCACAGGGCCGACCCTGCTTCTGGCCCGTTGTCCTGTGGCAGAGTCTGGACTTCAGAGGCTCACAGTCAAGTGTGGGGGTGACAAGGAAGTCACACAGAGCACGTGACCTGCTTCGTTCCAAGGGCCCCTGGACACAAGTAGGCTGTGGTTAGGTTTCTACCTCTGCCACTGGCTCACTCTGTGACACCAAACCAGGCATGGAGCCTCCCAAGCCTGTTACCCATGCAGAATGCTGGGTGGCAGTGCCCACTCCCCGGCTGTTTGAGAGAGAGGAGGTTGTGCGGAACGGCTCTAGCTCAGCCTGCATCTATTGGGTGTCCAGCAGCATCACTGTTGTCATTAGTGTGGGGGAAACTGGGCTGAGAGCTGGGAGTGCCCTTCCCCAGCCCTGCCTCCTCCTCTGGGCCTCCCAGCCCCGCCCTCCTCCCCTGGCACCCCGGGCCTGCCTGTGATGGTGTCCACTGCCCCGGCCTGTGCAGTCGGTGTGGGTGAAGACTGGGGTGCTGCAGTGGTGGTGCGACTGGAAGCCCCATAAGTGGTTGGATGTGCGCGTGGCCCTGGAGCAGTTCACGGGGCACGACGGTGCCCGGGACAGCATCCTCTTCATCTACTACGTGGTCCATGAGGAGAAGAAGGTGCCTCGGGGCCCGCAGGAGATGGGGCCAGGGAGGGGACACAGGGCTGGGGGGCCAGGAGAGGGGTACAGAAATAGGGGTGCCCAGGGGATGCATACAGAAACGGGAGTACTGAGGGGAGGGGTACAGAAATGGGGATACTCAGGATGGGTACACACATGGGGGTGCTCAGGGGAGGGATACAGAAATGAGGGTGCTCAGGGGGGAACAGAAATGGGGTGCTCAGGGGAGAAGCACATAAATGGGGGTGCCCAGGGCAGGGGTACAGAAATGGGGGTACTGAGAGGATGGGTACACACATGGGGGTACTCGGGAGGGGTACAGAAATGGAGGTACCCAGGGGAGGGGTACAGAAATAAGTGCCAAGGGAAGGGGCAGGGCTAGGCATGCCAGCAGAGAGGGTCCCCCAGGGCCAGGGTCCCAGGATGAAGCGCAGTGGGGATCACCCTTTGGAAGCCCTGGGTGACAGCCCTGCTGGGCGCCTGCTTTGTAAACAGTACATCCACGTGTTCCTGAATGAGGTGACAGCACTGGTCCCCGTGCTGAATGAGACCAAGCACTCCTTTGCCCTGTACACCCCCGAGCGGACTCGGCAGAGGTGGCCGGTGCGTCTGGCTGCCGCCACCGAGCAGGACATGAATGACTGGGTGAGTGGATGGTGGTCCCCTCGGTCTGGGGAGAGGGACAGCCACGGTGGGGCAGCCTGGCCTGGTCTGCTCCCCTGTGACCGGCACTGTGCCACGCCAGCTCGCCTTGCTCAGCCTGTCTTGCTGCGAGAGCCGGAAGGTGCAGGGCCGCCCGTCCCTGCAGGCCATCTGGTCTGTCACCTGCAAGGGGGACATCTTCGTGAGCGAGCCCAGCCTGGACCTGGAGGCCCATGAGCACCCCCTGCCCTGCGACCAGATGTGAGTGGGCTGCATCCTGGGTGGGATCTGGGGCCAACCTTAACCCGGGGGACCCAGAGAACTGGAGTCCACACATGGCCAAGCGTCTCGCTGACCAGCCAGAGGCATGCCCACTGGTTCCCAGGCCCTAATTCCCCCTGGGTCTGTACAAGGACCCCAAGATGGTGACCCAGAAGCCCCACTGGGCCCAGGGTGTGTCAGTGCTACCCAGCAGCCTCTGAGTATCAGGAGAAATGTGGAGTGCAGGTGAGGGGCTCAGTTCTCTACCACAGAGGGCTTCCAGGCCAGGGCAAAGCAGCCAGACCAGCGTCGGTGACATACTCATCTCTACAAAAAAATAAATTAAAAAATTAGCAAGGCATGGTGTCATGCACGTGTAGTCCCAGCTACTCGGGGGCGCTGAGGTGGAAAGATCGCTTGAGCCCAGGAGTTCAAGGCTGCAGTGAGCTGTGATCACACCCCACGCCATGGCACTTCAGCCTGGGCAACACAGTGAGACCCTGTCTCAGAAAAAAAAAAAGCCACAGAGGGGGAATGAGGTTCCCTGGGGAGATGTGAGCTGAGTCCTGAGGAGGAGGGTCTGGCAGGTGATACGGGGTCTATAATTCTGTCTCTTGTGGGTCAGAGAGGCTGCCCCAGGGGGTGTCCCCAAACTGGCGAGGGCCTGGGCTTCATTACCCATGGGCACCAGAGCTGGGGACATAGTGAGCCAGAAGCTCCGGCCGCAGCACGGGACAGCAGTATCCTATCAGAGGATTCAGACCGCCTCTGGTGACAGTGACAGTGGCAGGGCCTCGGCTGCAGGAGGCCTGCCCAGGAGGCCGCGCTGTGGCAGTGCCACATCCCAGTGACACCCTGGAAGCCCAAGGGCCATGCTGTCACTCATACAGAGGATTAGATATCACCTCCAGCTCTGGGCTGTGACATTCAAGCCTGGCTGCACCTGCCACTGTGGCCAGCCTGTTCCCCTAGGTCCCAGACCCCAAGGGGCCCTGTGAAACATGCCACTGGCCTCATCCCCCTCCATGTCACCCTTGGGATGAGGTGGGTGGCTTCTGGAAGACTCCTAGCCTGTGGGGAGGGTCTGACCTGCACAGCCCTAGTGCCAAGACCCTGCACCTCTCATGGGCTGGGTCTCTTTGGCGTCAGTTAATATGAAAGCGGAGGTCAGGCAGAGTGGACGGTCTGTGCTTGGAGACTGAGGGCTGGGAAAATACCAGGACCATGGGAGGCCACGGAACAAAAGGGTGGCGGGCAGGTTGGAGAGTGGGGCCCAAGGGGTTTCTAACTTCGCTCTTCCATCCTTCCAGGTTCTGGCGGCAGATGGGAGGCCACCTGCGGGTGGTAGAGGCCAACAGCCGGGGCGTGGTGTGGGGCCTTGGCTATGACCACACGGCCTGGGTGTACACAGGCGGCTATGGAGGCGGCTGCTTCCAAGGTGAGCTCGGCCCGCAGCCCCGCCCAGAGCCTTCCTGGGTATTCTTCCCTCTAATCCCCATCTGGGTTCCCTGCCCAAGGCCAGGGCCCCTGTCCCAGTGTTCACACTTGGCTAACAGCTGGCTGACAGGTGACCTTCACCACTGCCAGCCTCCACCCAGGATTGTCCCTCCCAGGACCCACCCGAGCTGAGTTCCTTGAAGGTTCCAGAGAGGCAGTGGCCAGGGCCCACCAGCAGATCCAGCTCCTCATTTTCAGACAAGGTCCCAGGGCGTTAGGGTTCTTCCTTCAGGGTGAGCACTTGCTGATCTGTGGGCTTCCTGATTTCTAGGAGCCAGGGTCCCTCTGTTCCTACTGGAAAAGGAAGGCAGAAACAGACACTGAAATGGGACGTTCCAGGCCACAGCTCACATGTCCCACAGTGGGGAGCAGCTAACCCCAGGGAACTGTAGTCCCCTGAGACCCCAGGAACGCATATCTGATCAGGCTTTCCAGCTTCCCCATGTGCGAGGCAGGAATTATTTCTCTTCATTTTACAAGTGAGGAAGCTGGGACTCATAGAGGTCACGTTGATGGTCCCAGGTGCCTTTGGTCAGAATAAGCTAGGTGGGCCTCGTGTCTCCCCAGTGCTAAGTAGGAAGGCAAGGTGGGAAGAGGTGTAACCAAGAGCACAGCGAGAGGTGGGGGTGCTGGCGGGGTGTGGATGGGAGGTGAAATGCACTGCAAGCTGTTCTCATCGAGGTTGTACAATCCCAGAATAATCACGGTCCCACAGGGGAGAAACCCAAGTCGGGCCGGCCCCGTGAGATAAGCTCGATAGGCCTGTTTGCCCCTCTCCCCTGACCTGGCTCCAGCCTGTCTTCCCCACCTCTCTGTGGGAATCTGTGCTTCAGAGGGGAAGTCAAAATCCCAGTTGGGGGCGATGTGGCCTTTGTCCCAGCAGCCACCTCTCCCCACAGGCCTGGCCAGCAGCACCAGTAACATCTACACACAGTCGGACGTGAAGTGCGTGCACATCTATGAGAACCAGCGCTGGAACCCCGTCACAGGCTACACCAGCAGGTAAGTGGCACAGGTAGCCAGCTAGGGTGCTACCTGGCACAGGCCTGAGTCCTGGCAAAAATGGGACAACAACGTCCACCGTAGCATGGAGTTCAGTAGAGCCTGGTGTCAGGCCCCCAGCAGGAAACTAACCGGATCTTATTGCTCACTGACATTTTCTTTTTTTTGCTTGAGTCTTTTTTTTGAGACAGAGTCTCGCTCTGGCTGGAGTGCAGTGGCACAATCTCAGCTCACAGCAACCTCTGCCTCCTGGGTGCAAACAATTCTCCTGCCTTAGCCTCCTGAGTAGCCGGGATTACAGTCGCCCACCACCATCCTTGGCTAATTTTTTGTAATTTTAGTAGAGACAAGGTTTCACTATGTTGGCCAGTCTGGTGTCAAACCCCTGACCTCAAGTGATCTGCCCACCTTGGCATCCCAAAGTGCTGGGATTACAGGCATGAGCCACCATGTCTGACCGAAAGTCTCTATGTGGACAGAGTTTCTACCTCCAAGAAATTTATGTAATTCCTTCATAATAAGATTCTATTCCTGATTCAAGCACCCAAGATAGAAGAAAGAAAGGTTTTGTACTTTTCTATACTGGAGTTTTGACATCTTTTACTAGACGGTATTTCATATTTTTGGGAGCTACTATAAGTGGAAGATTCAAACTTTTAAATTTTTTTTTTTAACTTTTTGAGTTTGTCTAAAGAATTGGGATTGGTTTTCTCTCATGTTTTTTTTTTTTTTTTCTTTTTTTGGAGACAGAATGAGACTCTGTCACCCAGGCTGGAGTGCAGTGGCACAATCTTGGCCCACTGCAGCCTCTGCCTCCCAGGTTCAAGCAATTCTCCTACCTCAGCCTCCCAAGTAGCTGGGATTACAGGCACACACCACTATGCTCAGCTGATTTTTGTATTTTTAGTAAAGACAGGGTTTCACCATGTTGGCCAGGCTAGTCTCGAACTCCTAAACTTCCAAGGCCTGCCTCAGCCTCCCAAAGTGTTGAGATTACAGGCATGAGGCACCGCGCCCAGCTTCCGCTCCTGCTTTTTCCAAATTGACAAAATAAACACTAAGCGATAGAAATAACAAACTCTGACAACTCTAATCTCACCAGCCAAAGACAACAACTGCAATTAGCATGTAGAGTGTGGCCTTCTGACCATCCCTGTGTGTGCCTGTTGGGGGCAGACAAGGCCAGACACAGGGAAGGGGTTCTGTGGCCTCTCCGTTCTGTACCCAGGGTAGACCCAGTGTATCTGGCCTTACTCTCTTAGATGCCTTGACCATATGTGACCTTTTTGCGTTCTATGGAACCATTTGAAGGATGTCTCTGTGTGTAAATATTTGTGTGTCTGTGTGTTTACCCCAATAAATCAAGGGATTTGAGATTTTCAAATATTTGACACACATCGCCAAAATATTTCAATCCTGAAAACCTCCACCTCAACTGTGGGCAGTGTCCACACAGCCTGGCAACACGCTTGGATCTCAGCCCCCTCCCCACATCCTCCTCAGACCTTGTGGAGAACAGGGCAGGGCTGTGCACCACATCTGTCTCAGAGAGGACTGACCGAGGGCCACAGCTGGAAATCACAAATGCGTGCCCCAGCTGTGGTCTCCAGGTATCTCAGCCTCACAGCCGCCCCCAAAACCACCCGATGTGCTGCTTCCTGTCACTCTAGTGTCTTGTGGTGGCCGTAATAAAGCACCACAAACCACGTGGTTTGAACAAGAGAAGCGTGGCCATGTGTGGTGACTCACACCTGCAATCCCAGTGCTTTGGGAGGCTTAGGAGGAGGGATTGCTTGAACCCAGGAGTTTGAGATCAGCCTGGGCAACAAAGAAAGACTCTCTACAAGAAATTTAAAAATAAATTAGCCAGGCGTGGTGGCATGTGTCTGTAGTCCTAGCCGCTCAGGAGGCTGAGGTGGGAGGAACACTTTGAGCCCAGGAATTCGAGGCTGCAGTGAGCTATGATCATGCCACTGCACTCCAGCCTGGGTGACAAAGTGACAACCTGTCGGGGGGGGGCGGGGAAGAAAGAAACAAGGAGAGAAAGAGGAAAAAAAAAGGAGAAAGAAAAGAAAAGAAAGAAAGAGAAAAAGCGAGAAAGGGAAAGAAGGAGACAGAAAGGAAGAAAAAAGAAAGGAAGAAAGAGAAAGGAAGGAGAGAGGGAAGGAAGGGAAGGGAAGAGAGGGGAGAGGAGGGAGGGAAGGAAGGAGGGAGAGAAGGAAGGAGGGAGGGAAGG